ACGTAGCTGTGGTTTGGTTACAGTAAACATACATTCGTCTAAAATTAATTTTCTTATTGGCCTATTCATTTTGACTAACCCTGTATTATCGTTATTATTACCTCTCCTACTCCCCTTCAGTCGCTCTCTCTCTCTCTCTCGGTCAGAAATATTAACTAGGGAGACTTAATGACAAAAGTGTAAGTCAAGCTCTGAAAAGGTTAAGTGGATGCAGTTCAATAGAGGCACCAGGACCTGCAGGTCAGTAGGCCTCAGTGTGATTCGATTTCCTATATTTGCTACTCTGTTGTTGTAAACACTTCCTCAAACTGCCATGTTTTAACTTGCCTCCAAAACGTCAAGAGGGAGGGAGCAGATCTGATCTCCCCAGGGAGGGCGTTCCATAGCCGAGGGGCCACCACTGAGAAGGCCCTGTCTCTTGTCCTCACCAAACGTGCTTGTGACAAAGGCGGGACCGAGAGCAGGGCCTCCCCAGATGATCTCAAAGTCCTCAGTGGTTCATAAGGGGAGACACTTCGGACAGGAAAGTTGGACCAGAACCGTTTAAGGCTTTATAGGCCAAAGCCAGCACTTTGAATTGGGCCCGGTAGCAAACTGGCAGCCAGTGGAGCTGTCGCAAGAAGGGGGTTGTATGCTCCCTGAGCGCCACTCCTGTTAACAACCTGGCTGCCGTTCGTTGGACTAGTTGAGGTTTCCAGACCTTCTTCAAAGGTAACCCCACGTTGAGAGCGTTGCAGTAGTCTATACGGGATGTAACCAGAGTGTGGACTACCGTGGCCAAGTCAGACTTCCCAAGGGATGGGCGCAGCTGGTGCACAAGCTTTAACTGTGCAAATGCTCCCCTGGCCACCACCGAAACCTGAGGTTCCAGGCTCAGCGATGAGTCCAGGATCACTCCCGAGCTGCGAACCTGCGTCTTCAGGGAGAGTGTGACCCCGTCCAACACAGGCTGTAACCCTATGCCCTGTTTGGCCTTGCAACTGACCAGGAGGACCTCTGTCTTGTCTGGATTCAGTTTCAATTTGTTTGCCCTCATCCAGACCATCACAGCGGCCAAGCACCGGTTCAGGACCTCGACAGCCTCCTTAGTAGCAGGTGGGAAGGAGTGACAGAGCTGGACATCATCTGCATAGAGATGACACTGCACCCCGAAACTCCGGATGATCTCCCCCAGCGGCTTAATGTAGATGTTAAACAACATGGGAGACAATACTGAGCCCTGAGGAACCCCACAAGACAAAGGATGTGAGGTTGAACAGGTGTTTCCCAATAACACCTTCTGGGTGCGACCCTTGAGAAAGGACCGCAGCCACTGCAAAACAGTGCCCCCTACGCCCATTCCAGTGAGGCGTCCCAGAAGGATACTGTGGTTGACGGTATCAAAGGCTGCTGAGAGGTCCAGCAGAACCAACAGGGACACACTCCCCCTGTCGAGCTCCCGGCGTGGATCATCAACTAAGGCGACCAAGGCTGTCTTGGTTCCATGTCCCAGTCTAAAGCCAGACTGTGCCAGATCCAGATAATCCATGTCTTCCAAGAAAACCTGGAGTTGTGAGGCCACCACACGTTCCAAGACTTTGCCCAAAAAGGGGAGATTGGAAACAGGCCGATAGTTGACGAATTGAGTGGGGCCCAGTGATGGTTTCTTCAACAGGTTGTTTATTACAGCTTGTTTTAAACTCGCTGGAATGTTGCCTTCCCGAATGGAGGCATTAACCACCACCTTGACCCACTCGGCCAATCCCCCTCTGGCCTCCTTCAGAAGCCAGGATGGGCCGGGGTCTGGGATGCATGTGGTCACCCTCATTCCTCCAAGTATCTTGTCCATATCCTCGGGTTTCACCAACTGAAATGAATCCATCAAAACTGGACATTAATGACTTAGATGAAGAGCTAGAAGGTATGATCATCAAGTTTGCAGACGACACCAAATTGGGTGGGATAGCCAATACTCCAGAGGACAGGAGAAGATTCAAAACTGGACAAGCAGGTGCTCGTGTTACATTCTCCCTCATCCTTCCTCACCTTTAGAAAGAAGGTAAAAACGTGGATGTGGGACCAGGCCTCCGGGCAATTAGGTTAAAAGAACAATTGACAATGTTGACTATGACTTGGAAGCGGATTATGGGTACGTTAAACGGAGTACTCAGTCATAGTATACGGCTAGATAAATGGCCACCAGACTGGTAATAGCACAATGGACTGTAAGTATACTGTTTTAATCTTTATGTCTCAATGCTTATGCTTTTCACTGTTTTGTATTTTATTATGCGGCATCAAATTGTTGCCAATTGGAAGCCGCCCTGAGCCCCCCCCCCAAAGGGGTTGAGAAGGGCGGGGTAAAAGTGTTCGAAATAAATAAATAAATAACCAGGGCAACGAGGAGACTAACGTAGTGGTGGTGCATGGAGCTGAGGTTTGACATTGAAAATGTTTTTACTGGAGGCACTTTTTTGAAGGAGGAACTCATTATGACCCCAACCAGGATCCTTTCTTCTAATATCTTCAGCCGCCTTCTTCTGAGGTAAATCTTCTTCTCAATAAATGGACGTGAGTCTTTATTACAAAGAACTGATCAAGGAAATATTTATTTAAGGATTCACTGGCTTGCCTTTTTCTCCCTTCCGCTTTCCCCTTCGCTCACGAGCTAACTCCTAATTTAAAGAGGCCCAGTTGACTCTGTAAACACACAGGCTGAAGACTTAAACCCCCGGGTTCAGGGTCTCCACACGCCAGAACCCAACTTCCACTCTTGTCCGCTGACTGAAAGAAACGCTCTCTTTCCAAACGCCTGCCCCGGCCGAGTGGCAGTTAGCTCCGCCCCTTTGCTTCTCTAACTTGGATACATTCTCACAGCCGGTTCTGTCGCTATGGCAACTCGACACAGCTCAGGCGACACATCAGCTGGCCTGCACTTATATCACAACATTAATCAACATTTCTAAAACATACATTATAATTCGCTATTTCGTTACAGCCTGTAACCAATGGCAGATAGCAAGCCACATGGCAGAGGACGGGCACATACAAGCCGCTCCCACCCTTCTCTCCAGATTCCGTCCCTGTAACGCCATCTTCTCTGTTGTCTTAACCCTTGAGATTATTGTGCTGTGAACACGTGTCTATTAAGGACTGTCTCATTACACACTGGAGGGGAGGGCCATGCATTCCTATCCATCTTTTTCTACACCACAGTCGTTGGGTCACATGAACCACAAAAACCATTCCGTAGCCGACCCCACCCCCACCCCGCCGAGGAAGAAGCCCTTCCTTCTCTTCTCACCCTGTGGGTCTCTCCCCAGATGCGTTTTGGCCTTCACCTCCTAGAAATCCTCATAACTGGTTAACTGGCTGGGATTTCTGGGAGTTGTAGGCCACAACACCTGGAGAGAGACTCACAGGGTGAGACCCACTGCTCTAACTTAAGCAGACCTAGCTCTTTTTAGACATTCCCTACTGTCGTCTCTGGAGATATTCTGGCTTGTCAATATCCGTCTTGAGTTGTGCTGCCGAGAACGGGAGACAGAGCGATTCCAGGTGAGGTCTGAGCAAAGCAGGAGAAAGGAGGCTGTGACTTCCTTGGACGTAGACACCACGTCTCCTCTTGGCACAGCCTGGGATCACATTGGCATTTGTGGCTGCCACATCACACTCTGGTTTTTTCAAAATAATTTTTATTCAAAGGCAAGAAAGAAAAGCATGTTTATACAAATTACAATACTGGGATTTTTGAAAAGGAATCCTTAACAAAAATGAAAGACTGAACAACACACACCTACACAATAAGAAGAAAACTAATAGAACAACGGATCAACACAACGCTTGCCTCATGCCAATTTTAATCTGTATTCACTCACTTTAAATGCTGCTCTATATTCACTCTTCCGTTTCTAAATATAGTAAACTCATTCCTAAAACCCACAATAAGCAAATGTCCCCTCATTGTTATAACTCATGAATTATTAGTCGGTCCCAATCTTGTTTCATAGAATCCTAGACTTGGGAGAGATGTTGTGGGCCATCATCCAGTCCAACCCCATTCTGCTAAGAAGCTGGAAAATTGTATTCAAAGCACACCATACAGATGGCCATCCAGCCTCTGCTCCAAAGCCTCCAAAGAATGAGCCTCCACCACACTCTGGGGCAGAGAGTTCCACTGCTGAACAACTCTCACCATCAGGAAGTTCTTCCTCATGTTCAGGTGGAATCTCCTTTCTTGTATTTTGAAGCCATTGTTCCACGTCCTAGTCCCCAGGGAAGCAGAAATCAAGCTTGCTCCCTCCATTTCCCCCCAAAATAAGACAGTATTTCTTTTTCAAAAAGACATGCTATGGCTTATTTTCAGGGGGTGTCTTATTTGTATATCCATGGCCAGGACTCAAGTGCTCGGGTGGAGAGGAGGAGGCGACCCAGGGCTTGGTCCCTCCTTGGATGGGACAGACAATGCCTTCCTCCCTACCTACCTCAGTCTTTCCCCCACTTTCCCAGCACCCCTTTCCCACCCCCGCCTTCCCTTTTTCCAGTTCCCCCTTCCTGTCCCAGTCCTTACTATCCCCATCCTTTCTCTCTCCACTCTCCATCCCAGCCTTTCCGAGGTTCCAGCCCCCCTTTCCCACCTCAATCTTTCCCCTTCCCCAGTTTGTATTATTCATATACACACAGCATTTTCCCCAAAATGTATATGTAGTTAAAATTGTACTCTATTATTATTACATTTATTATTTTACTTTATTGCTATTACTACATTTATTAATTTACTCTATCACTGTTACTACGTTTTTATTGTGTTATGATTTATTATTTTTTTCTATTTATTATTTTTCATACATTTATTTTTCTCTATTATTATTACATTTATTATTTTACTCTATTTATTGTTCTTATTATTACATTTATTATTTTGCCCTATTTATTATTATTGGAGGGATACGTAAGCACACTGAAGAAGGTTAGAATAATGATTTAATCAGAGTTGGACAGTCTTATCTCAAATTATCTTATCTTAAATTACAGTATTACGCAATTATTCAGGAACATCTAACCTATAGAAGCCTCTATTCATGTAAGCTTATTGGTATCTATTTTATTTTTATTCTTGAAATTTACCAATAGCTGCTGCATTTCCCACCCTCGGCCTATACTCAAGTCAATAAGTCTTCCCAATTTTTGTGGTAAAATTAGGTGCCTACTCTTATATTTGGTCGGTATATACGATATGTGCTTTCTCCTCTGTGTGGGTTCTTTGATGGCTACGCAGACCCGCACTGTGACTGAAGCCCTTTCCACATTCCATGCATTTATATGGTTTCTCTCTTGTGTGGATCCTTTGATGGTAACGCAGATGTCCACTCTGACTGAAGCCCTTTCCACATTCCATGCATTTATATGGTTTCTCTCTTGTGTGGATCCTTTGATGGGTACGCAGATGTGAACTCTGACTGAAGCTCTTTCCACATTCAATGCATTTATATGGCTTCTCCCCTATATGGGTCCTCTGATGGGCACGCAGACTGTAACTCCGACTAAAGCTCTTTCCACATTCCATGCATTTATGTGGCTTCACTCCTGTATGGGTCTTTTGATGGATATGCAGATGTGAAATCTGACTGAAGCTCTTTCCACATTCCATGCATTTATGTGGCTTCTCTCTTGTGTGGGTTCTTTGATGGATATGCAGATGTGAACTCTGACTGAAGTTCTTTCCACATTCCATGCATTTATGTGGCTTCTCCCCTGTGTGGGTTCTTTGATGGATACGCAGAAGTCCACTCTGACTGAAGCTCTTTCCACATTCCATGCAGTCATGTGGTTTCTCTCCTGTGTGGCTCTTTTGATGGGTACGCAGACTTGAACTGTGACTGAAGCCCTTTCCACATTCCATACATTTATATGGTTTCTCTCTTGTGTGGGTCTTTTGATGGGTACGCAGATGTGAACTCTGACTGAAGCTCTTTCCACATTCAATGCATTTATATGGCTTCTCCCCTATATGGGTCCTCTGATGGGCACGCAGACTGTAACTCCGACTGAAGCTCTTTCCACATTCCATGCATTTATATGGCTTCTCTCCTGTGTGGGTCCTTTGATGGGTATGCAGTTGTCCACTCTGACTGAAGCACTTTCCACAGTCCATGCATTTATGTGGCTTTTCTCCTGTGTGAGTCATTTGATGGGTACGCAGACCCAAACTGTTACTGAAGCTCTTTCCACATCCCATGCATTTATGTGGCTTCTCTCCTGTGTGGGTCCTTTGATGGATATGCAGACTGTAACTCCGACTGAAGCTCTTTCCACATTCCTTGCAATTATGTGGCTTCTCCCTCGTGTGGAATCTTTGATGGGAACGAAGATTCCCACTCTGACTGAATCTCTTTCCACATTCCATGCATTTATGTGGCTTCACCCCTGTGTGGGTCCTTTGATGAATACGTAGATTTCCACTCCGACTGAAGCTCTTTCCACATTCCACACATTTATGTGGCTTCTCTCCTGTGTGGGTCCTTTGATGGATACGCAGACCCGAACTGTTACTAAAGCTGTTTCCACATTTCACGCATTTATGTGGCTTCTCTCCTGTGTGAGTCCTTTGATGGATACGCAGATTCCCACTCTGACTGAAGCTCTTTCCACATTCCATGCATTTATGTGGCTTCTTCCCTGTGTGGGTTCTTTGATGGGTATGCAGATGTCCACTCCGACTGAAGCTCTTTCCACATTCCACACATTTATGTGGCTTCTCTCTTGTGTGGTTCCTTTGATGGATATGCAGACTGTAACTCCGACTGAAGCTCTTTCCACATTCCTTGCAATTATGTGGCTTCTCACCTGTGTGAGTTCGTTGATGTTTAGTAAGAGAACTTTTCCCAGTGAAACATTTCCCACAGTCCATACAAGTATGTAACTTCTCCCCGGTGTGTAATTTTGACAAGGAATTGAGATTTTCCATTCTTTTACATTTATAATTCAAATATTACACCAGATGTTCACAGATATGTTCTCCTGAACAGGACAAGATTTCCTCTTCTCGGTCTTTGTATTGCTGTAATCTTCTTTCCTCTTTACCAAGCCCTCTTTTTACACCACAATCCCACCTTTCCTCCTTGAACACACAGGTTCTTAGCTGGAAATATAATTTCTCCAACTTATTTCTTGTTCTTGTCAGTGCTGTGTACTTTCATTGAAGACCGTAGGCAAAGGGTAAAGTGTTCTTCTCAAGGTTCATTCATAGATTACCTGCCAGAAGAATGAGAGGAAAATCTCATCAGGAGCAGAGAAAAGAAAGATCTCGGTGGAGATGAAGAAAAATAACCTAGTGCTGTAGTAGGGGAAGAAGGGAGAAATATTGGCCCAATTCAGGAGAGCCAACTGCCCAAGAAAGAAAAACCTCTGTTCAGATACAAAGGGGATGAAGGCGCAAGATTCTGTGTATGAGAGATTTCTTGCACGGCAGAGTGTTCAGAGTATAACCCAAACTTTGTAAAGGAAGACCTCTAACAATATGGTCAGTACAGAAAGGTCTAAGGTTGCAAAGCATTTCCTGCCTAGATCCTGCTTCCTCACATCCCAACTCAGAACTTGAGTGACCAACTGTACGGGCAGACAATCCCAAGTGGTCAGTCTTGGGAGAAAAAGACATTGTCTTGTGTAGATTTCTTCCAACTCAGGAAAAAGTTATTTTCCTGACCCTCTCTTTTCCTGCAACGTGATCCCTGCCCCATGTTTCTAAAACAAGGCACCTGGAGACATTGAGTGGACTCTGGAACCCGCTCCCTAGAAATATTAGACAAGCCCCCACTCTGCCAGTCTTTAGGAAGACCTTGAAAACTTGGCTGTTCCAGCGTGCCTTCAATGAATGAATGAATGAATGAATGAACAATAATACCCTGACATGACCTACCTCTGGAAAAATGCCCTCGGTAGCACTTTGTTTTACCTGCTGTGCAATCTCTCCCTACTCTATTTTTTCAGATCCCCTGTCCAGATACATTACACTGCTGTCTCACCCAGTGTTTTTACATTTTTAATCTATTGAAATTGGCCTGCCCAATATGAACAATGTCTGTGTTTTAAATGTTGTGATTTTATATTGTTGATGTGTTCTTAAAACGGGTTTTAAAGAATATTTTGCTGTGTTTGTTTTATATTGTCTTACTATATTGCTGGGCTTGGCCTCATGTAAGCTGCCCCGAGTCCCCTTGGGGAGATGGTGGTAGGGTATAAAGATGATGATGATGATTATTATTATTATATTAGGCTGTAAAGCTCTTGACATACTGCATTCTTACAAAACCTA